ACCCTGAGGCCACACAGCTCTCGCTGCTGAAACCTGACGCGGATCCGCTAGCTTCCAGAGCAGGACCACTCTTTTCCCATGTGCTCATTAACCTAATTGAAAAAATAAAATGTAATCTGTGTACATCACAAAGAGAAGTATATCAAAAAGAGAAGGTGGCTCATGCCTGTAATCCCAGCATTTTGCGGGGGTAAGGTGGGGGGACTGCTTGAACCAAGGAGTTCAAGACCGTCCTGTGGAACACATCGAGACTCACCTCTATCAAAACTACAAAAACTAGCCAGGCATGGTGGCATAAACCTGTAGTCCCAGCTACTCAGGAGGCTGAGGTAGGAGGATCATCTGAGCCTGGGAGGTTGAGGCTGCAGTGAGCTGTGACTGTGCCACTGCATTCCAGTCTGGGTGACAGAGTGAGACGTGTCTCAAAAACAAAACAACAACAACAAAAAAACATGAGGACTTCCAATGACCAGCCCAAGGGCTTGGGACGCTATACATAGTCAGTCTATGAATACTGTACTGCCATGAACTGATGGATACCCCAGGCCCGGAGTCAAGAACTGCAACAGGCAGATTAAAAATGTTGAGCCATCGCCGGGCGCGGTGGCTCACGCCTGTAATCCCAGCACTTTGGGAGGCCGAGGCGGGTGGATCGCGAGGTCAAGAGATCGAGACCATCCTGGTCAACATGGTGAAACCCCGTCTCTACTAAAAATACAAAAAATTAGCTAGGCATGGTGGCGCGTGCCTGTAATCCCAGCTACTCAGGAGGCTGAGGCAGGAGAATTGCCTGAACCCAGGAGGCAGAGGTTGTGGTGAGCCGAGATCGCGCCACTGCACTCCAGCCTGGGCAACACAGTGAAACCCTGTGTCTATTAACTATTAAAAGAATAAAAATTAGCCAGGCATGGCGGCATGCGCCTGTAGTCCCAGCTACTTAGGAGGATGAGGCAGGAGAATTGCTTGAACCCAGGAGGTGGAGGTTGCAGTGAGCTGAGATTGTGCCACTGCACTCCAGCCTGGGCGACAGAGCAAGACTCCCTCTCAAAAAAACAAAAAACAAAAAACAAACAGTCAAAGCACAAGTCAGACAACTGGCTTCCGAGAAGGGGCAGCAGCCTGAAAGAAAAAGCAGGAAAAGCCCACAACAGACTGAAGCTTTGGGAAGGACCTAAATATCCAAACCAAGCCCTATACAAATAACTGTACTTACATGCAAAATTTTGTGCTATGAAAGCTAACACAAAAGAGAATCAAATTCTTCCCAGACATTTCTCTAAAGATGTGGCCAGCAAGCCTCTGAAGAGACGTCCAGCACTGTAAGTCGATCAGGAAATGCACCAACACCATACCCACTAACACAACCAGAATTTTTTTTTTAAAGGAAGGTCAGGCCGGGTGGCTCATGCCTGTAATCCCAGCACTTTGGAAGCCAGATGTGGGCAGATGGCTTGAGCCTAGGAGTTTCAGACCAGCCTGGGTAACATGGCAAAATCCAGTCTCTACAAAAAAACACAAAAACACAGCCAGACGTGGTGGCGTGTGCCTGTGGTCCTGGCTACCCTGGAGGCTGAGGTGGGAGGATCACTTGAGCCTGGAAGGTCGAGGCTGCAGTGAGCTGAGATCATGCCACTGTACTCCAGCCTGGGCGACAGAGTGACACCCTGTCTCAAAAAAAAAAAAGGAAAATACCAAGCGGTTGACAAGGATGTGGAGAAACTTGAACGCTGATACATTGCTAGTGGGAACGCAAAATGGTGCAGCTGCTATATAAAACAGCTGGCAGCTCAACAGGTGAACCACAGAATTACCAAAGGACTGGAATTCTACTTTCAAGTACAGACCCAAAAGAAGTGACAAGAACAAAAACTTGTACACAACTGTTCACAGCAGTACTAGTCACAATAGCCAACCCAACGTCATTCGTGTGAATGGGAAACAGAAGGCGATCTGTCCACACGTGGAACACTATTTAGCCATTAAAAGGAGTGAAGCACTGATACACGCCATCACATGGACGGACCTTGAAAACATTGTGCTAAGTCAAAGAAGCCAGACACAGAGGCCACAGATTTTAAGATTCCATGTGTATAAACATCCAGAAGAGGCAAGGCTACAGAGACAGAAGGAGACCAGTGTCGCCAGGGGTTGGGAGAGGGGAATGGGAACCGTCAGCTTAATGGGTTCCCTTTTGGAGAGATGAAAGAGTTCTGGAACTCAGTGGTGACAGCTGCGTAACTTTGGGAATGGAAGGCACTTTATGCCACTGACTTGTGCACTTTAAAGGGATAATTTTATGTTCTCTGTATTTGACTGTAATAAAAAAGATAAACAGCATCACGTCTTCACAGTGGCAGAGTCTCTGGCAATACCTCGCTTGAAGATACACGTTCATGAAGTGCTATCCTATCAGTGTCGGACAGGGAAAATGCTCTTCCCTACAGTCCTTCCCTGCCAATCCTGAATGCACAAGATTATAAACCCAACTTTTTTCTTTTTTTTTTTTTGAGACGGAGTCTCATGCTTGTTGCCCAAGCTGGAGTGCAATGGCACGATCTTGGCTTACTGCAACCTCCGCCTCCTGGGTTCAAGCGACCTGCCTCAGCCTCCTGAGTAGCTGGGATTACAGGCACGCCACCACACGCAGCCAATTTTTGTATTTTTAGTAGAGACAGGGTTTCTCCATGTTGGTCAGGCTTGTCTTGAACTCTTGACCTCAGGTGATCCACCAGCCCTGGCCTCCCAGAGTGCTGGGATTACAGGTGTGAGCCACTGCACCCGGCTCCCAGAACGAACTTTCTTAAAATACTCTCAGGTTTCAAGATGAAGGCTGCCAGTCTAGAAAGGAAACAATTATGGACAGGGGCAGCTTCACTGGGGTTCCACAGACGGACACTGTTAGCCGTGATGCCACTGGCTGGACACAACCCGTGCAGAGGGCAGTGCCTCTGTGAACACAGGCTTTCCGACGGTGGCCAGGAGACCCCTCAGCGTGGAGCGGGGATGGCTGCCGTCTATCGGGGCAGAGTTGCAAGGCCATCTTCTTAGAGCACACAGGCAGCTGTGAAGCCACCAAGTGCAAAGGAAAGTGAAATGCAACACGGCCCTTCACTGGCAAAGCAAAGAGCTCGGGTTCTGGGATGCTCCTAGGATTCCCCTGGCAGCTCCCGAATGGCCTCTGTGCCACAACACTGCAGATAAGATGTACTTGAACTTCTAGTTCTAGAGGCTCCCCTATTCTCAGCTCTGCTCCACCCAAGCCCTTCCTCTCTCTCACTTCAGGTGTCAAGGCTCCACTCCTGTAGTTATCTGAGATGATCTTCAGAATCAACACACCGTGCCAACTCTGGGCACCTTGGGTGTCTGAGAACTTTGGAACCAAGGCCAGGTATGTCTTCAGCTGCCGATGAAGGCTTGCTTGATCTGGTTTTAATCAATTTCCTATGGCTGTTATCTAGAAGTGCTTGTATATTGCAGTCACTGCTCTGCGCGCTGCAGGTGGTCAGTCTACAAATATTCCTGAATGAATTCATGGGCAAATCCCCTATCTCCAGCAACCATAGATGCAAACATGCTCAAATTTTACTAAAACATCGTTCATCTTTCCAGCTTTTGCTCCACTATCACTCTAATTTTGGATTTCTGATTTCTAGTAACAGAGAAAATGTGTTACTTTTAAATCATCAGCATCTAAAATTCTCAAGGAAAGCTCATGGAAAGTGCTGTTACCAAGGAATATAACCCAGTCGCTTTAAAATGGCTATTACTAGTCTAGACAAGAAAACACACAAGATTCCATACATACGCTGTCAACTTTGGCAAGAAAGATTTTAGACAACTTTCATCCTTCCCACCCAATCCCAAGTCAATAGGGCATTTGTTTGTGTTTCCATATTGGCTCCACGAAGGAAAATACCTCCTCCACCTAGAAAAACAATCAGTAACATTCAGACACGGAACTTGGAGGGCAAACTTTTTAGTGCATGCTGGGGCACTTTTATGTAGCGTTTTTGTTTTTTGTTTTTTTTTTTTAAATAATGTAGAAAAGTATTTTTAATGATGTTTTCTCCTAAGAGCACTTCCCTCAAGTTTCCACGTATCTCTGGTTTGGCCTTTCGCTACCTTTCAGAAACACAATTTTTTAAAAAAACGTTCTCCATTAAAACTGGAGCCAGAAGGAAACTTCTCCCTACAGATCTGAATGTTTTACTGTGTCTAGGGTGGAAAAAGTCACACACAGTCATTTTCCTTCACTCACTTTAAGTTTTCTGCTCTGCACCCAGTGGGTTCTGGTAAAGAGTTAAAAGTCTTCTGAGGTTAGTTCCTGCGGTTAAGGAAAACAACAACAAAACACCAAATAACTAGATGCTTAAATTTAGACTCCGTAAAACAATACTGGGAAACTTTCAAAGCCTTGGAGAAATACTGGGGTTTATTTTATTGTCTTTTGTTCAATTTCATCATGGGCCACATTTTCTCCTCTATTTGACTCCCTTCGGCTGCGCTGGGCTGGGCAGACCCTGCACAGCCCTGCGGGATTCCAGGACGTGGGGGCCCGGGTGGAACAGGTGGCTCCGCCCGCCGCGTCGAACCCGCACCCTCTCCCAGGGGCCGCACGGGGGTCCCGCGGCGCAAGGGGGTCCCAGGTTGGGAGACGGGCGGTGGGGACCGCGGACGCTCTGCGCCCAAGGCTGGGAAACCCGCCTCCACCCCTGCGCACCCAGGACAGCCCCAGACTCGGAACCCAGCGCGTTCCCTTCCGCGCCCCGACCCCGAGGTCCCCCAGGAGGCAGCGACGCCCCGAGGTCGGGGGTCGGGCACCGGGCGGCCTCCGCTGCGGCGCCGGGCTCCCCCTGTCGGAGTGGAGAGCGCGCAAGGCAGGGTCCGGCGCCCCTCTCTGCCCGACCCGCCGGCGTCCCCGCAGACTCCAGCGACGCCACCGCCGCCAGGACGCCCTCCCCTCGCTCCCGCCCTGCCCGGGGTCCTAGGGCCGCACTCACCTCGCGGGAGCCCGCTGCCCGGGGACTCAGGTGTCCACGCCGCCCGCGACCCGGAGCCCTCACGCCGCCTCCGGTCTGCCCGCGCGCCCTGCAGACTGTGCCTGGCCGTCCGGCCGCGCGCTCCCGCCGCCGGGACTCGTGCTCCTCAGGCACGCACGGCTCGCGCCCGCGGCGCTTAAAGGGCCAGGACCCGCCGCGCTGGGGGTCCCCGCGGCCGCCTTCCAAGGGCCCTCGGTCAAGCTGTGAAGTTCGAGTTGGGGAATATCAGCGTGAAAATCTCCAACCTCATCCCCGAGCGACCCACGCGGAGAAAAGCAATAGGGATGTGCGACTGAAGCTTGCAAGAAGTGGAACATTAATTTAATTTAATTTTTCCTGAGACAGGGTCTTGCTTTGTCGCCCAGGCTGCAGTGCACGTGGTGTGATCGCAGCTCACTGCAACCTCCACCTCCCGAGCTCAAGTGATCCTCCCATCTCAGTCTCCCGAGTATCTGATATCACAGGTGCACGCCACCACACACAGCTAATTTTTAATTTTTTTGTAGAGATGGGGGGAGGTCTCATTATATTGCCCAGGCTGGTCTCGAACTCCTGGGGTCAAGTGATCCTCTCACCTCAGCCTCCCAAAGTGCTAGGATTACAGGCCTAAGCCACTGCACGTGGCCTTTAATTTTTTTCTTTTCTTTTTCTTTTTTATTATCATCAGCTTTGAGAGACTATTTTATACGTAATAATACTACTGATGCAATTTATTGCATTTCTGTACCCTCAGACACAGCATTTAACGTGCATACACCACATACATTATTTCATTTAATCCTTAAAATGGTTTTCTGGTTTCTTAGCCCCATTTTGCAAAGGAGGAAAGCTGAGGTTCAGACAGCTGAAGAAAGTCATGGGAGAAATTTTGACCCCACAGCTCCTTGCATTTTCTTCTTCAGGCTATCACCATGGAAATATCTCCCAAGGTTAATAGCTGGTTGTGGAAGGTTTTTCTAAGTTGGTGGAAGTTGATGGTACCAGGTTTAACTCAGTAGGCAGGGACGAAAGCAAGGGTTATGGGGTTGTATTAATTGTAGGGTTTGTTGTATACTCAAATGGCAAACGTTCTAACAGCCTAGATTCCCAGAATGTTTGCACTGATTCCCATTTTACAGAAAACTAAGGACCGAAGTGGTTGCACAGGATGAATCACCTGCAGCACTCAGGGTTGAGACCAATGCCTTCGTCCTGAGGTCATTTCTCTGCCCTCCCCAGAAAGAGATACCTGATGAAAGGGAAGAAAACTTTTCCTCTAATAACACAGTGGCCTCGCCTAATTCCCTGCATCTTTAATTAATGTTTACAAAGCACTTTAATCTACCCAAAATGCTACTTAATTGGGTCAGTATTATTATCCTCTCCTGAACAAAATCCAGGAGACAGTCAACTCCGACAGCCCTTAATCCTCGATGAATAATGAACCTAAGCTTTCTGGTTATGTTCTCCCCACCCCCCCGCCCCCCGCCACCTTCTTACATTTTTGTCCATGTTGTGTTAAATATGAATGCATGTATCATGAAGTGACAGAATAAATGGTAATATTCAACACCTATCTATAGGAGGGAGGTAATATAGCAGACACTGTCTTTAAGGAATTTATTTTATTTTTTGAGACAGGTTCTTGTTCTGTTGCCCAGGCTAGAGTGCAGCGGCAAGACTGTAGCTCACTGCAGCCTCCAACTCCTGGGCTCAAGTGATTCTCCTGCCTCAGCCTCCCAAGCTGAGACTACAGGCACGAACCACCATGCCTGGCTAATTTTTTATTTTATTTTTTTTGTAGAGACAGGGTCTCATTCTCACGGTAGTCTCAAACCTCTGGGCTCAAGCGATCCTCTCATCTGGGCTGCCCAAAGTGCTGGGTTCAAAGGCATGAACCACTGTGCTCGGCCCTTTAAGGAATTCAGATCAAGGGGGAAAAAAAACATTTTGATAAATGCTTCCCAGAATTATTTTTCTTTTTATTATTATCCTTCTTGCTTGGTTAAACTTTTACGGCATCTTTTCTTACAGGTGAAAAAGAAACGAGAAGGAAGCTATTGAAGAATGGTGGGGGGATGAGAAAGGAAAAGGGAAAAGAAAAAGGCAGAAAAACAGGAGCAGGAAATAAGGAAGAAAATGAGACTGAGAAGGCCTCACCCGACAGGCAGTTAGGGATGGAGGCTGGCCCCTGCTGGCATGTCCTAAGTCTTTGTGGGAATTACTATCAGGTGGCCCTCCTGTGGGCTAGTGCAGGCCTGGCCAGGGAGCTAGCCCAGGCTGGCCTCCTGCCCCGAAGCTTCTGCCCTGATGCACCGTGGCCTAGGCACCTTTGTGACGGCCGAACACACAAAGGGACCAAACAGTGAGAAAGGACACTGAAGCCAGGTCAGAGGAGAAGAAATGGTTACAGGGGGAATTTAAAGATGGTTATTTGGCCGGGCGCGGTGGCTCACTCCTGTAATCCCATCACTTTCGGAGGCCAAGGCAAGCAGATCACCTGAGATCAGGAGTTCGAGACCAGCCTGGCCAACATGGCCAAACCCCATCTTTACTAAAAATGCAAACATTAGCTGAACGTGGTGGCACATGCCTGTAATTTCAACTACTTGGGAGGCTGAGCTAGGAGAGTTGCTTGAACCCAGGAAGTGGAGGTTACAGTGAGTCGAGATTGTGCCACTGCACTCTAGCCTGGGTAACAGGATCTGTCTCAAAAAAAATTGAGTAAAGATAGTTATTTATGAAAGTACTTAGATAATGTCCAGAGGAAAATAAATGAACAAAGAAATATCTAGATGGTCTTTGTATTGTTACAGTTTTAAAACCTATGAAATTTTAAAAATTTCACTGTAAAGTCACTTGACTTCTTCATAAATGTTTTCTGAGGCTGATCTTTGCTAAGAAAATCCTGATAATACATGACCCCCAAATATTAAAGAAATATTAATGAACTTTATATAAGTTAAAAATTTTAAAGTAAGCTAAAAAATAAGCTATGTATTTTTATGTTATAAAGGAAGTATATTACCGTATAAAATTGACTTCCGAAACTGTAATATATGTCATGACCACTAGAGGGAGGCAGACAGGAAAGGAGAAAGAAAGTAAGAAAATTTCATAACTTTTCTTTACTAAAAAAAGCGACAGCAGTTTGGATCTGACACGGGAGATGTAAAAGGCATGATTTATTACCTTAGGCTGTTTATCTTTTTTGAGTCTCAGTTCCTCATCTATATAATAAGGCTGTTAAAACCTACCCTATGAGGCTAAAAGTATTTTAAAGTATATCTAAACAAATTGAACAAATAATAGGTGAGAAAAGTTAACAAAATTAGAAAAATAAAGAAAAATATGGGAAATTGACCTGTTTATTCTTGAAACCTAGTCTAGGGCTATACTGATGAAATGTATCAGAATGGAACAATATAATCCCAGAAAAGGTAGTGTAGACTTTCATATATGATAAAAGGGTCATCAAAAATAAATGAAAAAGAGAAGGGATGTCAGTAAGTGGAGGTAAGAAACATAGTAATTTGAAAAGATAATCAAGTTAAACCCTTACATGTCATTATATGCTGAAAGATGTTCCAGCTACATTAAATAATTTTAGGGTTGAGCGTGGTGTCTCACGCCTGTAATTCCAGCACTTTGGGAGGCTGAAGCAGGAGAATTGCTTGAGCCCAGGAGTTCGAGACCAGCTTGAGCAACATAGTGAGACCTCTCTGTCTCTACAAAAAAAATACAAAAATTAACCAGGTATTGTAGTGCACACCCGTAGTCCCAGCAGCACAGAAGGCTGAGGTGGGAGGATCACCTGAGCCTGGGGGTGGGGTCGAGGCTGCAGTGAGCTGTGATAGTGCCACTGCTCTCCGGGTTGGGGGCAGAGAGACCCTGTCTCAAAAAAACAAAAAATAAATTTTAAAATTAATTGAAAATTTAGGTAAATATTTATGTGATCTCAAGGTGAGGAAAGAAAAGAAATGATCAAAAAGGAAATGACCATTAGACTAAATTGCATAAAATTTAAAAAATTATTTTAACTAAAAATATTGCAAATAGAAGCCTAAATGACACACACACACACACAAATTGGAAACTACAAACCTCTGCATAACAAATCCAATAGTTAATTGTATCTTTAGGAGTACACACAAATTGATAAGAAAACCCTAATAATTCTGTGGGAAAATTTCCTCAAAGAGAAAATTAAAGTGCTTAGTAATTAGCTATGTGTATATCTGTGTAAGTGTGTGTTATTATATTTTAAAGTGTTTAGGCTACCTTGTAATGTTAAATAATATACAATATTTTTACCTAAAAATTAGAAAATATAATTTAGATTCTAATATTTAATGCTGGCAGGAGTGTAAAGAAATGGGCAATTTTATTTATTTATTTATTTATTTAGCGACGGAGTCTCGCTGCATTGCCCAGGCTGGAGTGCAGTAGCACCATCTCAGTTCACTGCAACCTCCACCTCCCAGGTTAGGGCGATTCTCCTGCCTCAGCCTCCCAAGTAATTGGGACTACAGATGCGCCCCATCATGCCCAGCTAATTGTTTCTATTTTTTCATCGTGTTGGCCAAAGTGGTCTTGAACTCCTGACCTCAAGTGGTCCACCATCTTGGCCTCCCTAAGTGCTAGGATTCCAGGTGTGGGACACTGTGCCTGGCCAATGGACAATTTAAAATACATTTAGTGGGAACATAAGTTGATGTAACTTTACTGAAAAGCAATTTTCTAAAATATTTAAAGACCTATAAACCTTTGTATGTTTTGACCCTGTAGTTCCATATTTAAGGCTTCTATGGAAATAATGAGAAATAATCACAAATATTTATGCATGAAGATATATATAATCTAATCATACATACAATCTCATCATATATACATAATCTCAACATATATAATCCCATCACAATCTCATCACATATAATCTAATCACAAATAATCTAATCATACACAATCTCATCACATATAATCCCATCATATATGATTTCATCATATATAATGTCATCATACATATTATCATCATATATGACCCCATCATACATAATCGCATCATAAATAATTTGATTATATATAATCTCATCCTACATATA